TCAAAGATACAGCCAGAAAATCATCTATAATTATGTAAATGGTTAACTCATGCCAGAGCAAAGCAGCAACGCTGTGTCCAATACTATCTATGTTTTAACATCACATGAATGAATATTACCTTTGTTCACCTTTGCCAGCCACTGGGAAGAGGAGGTCCAAATGGACTTTAAGTACTAGCACAAAATTAGTCCCATATGACATTGAGCTTTCAGGATGAGACAAGATGAGACAATTTCACAAATCTAGAAATGAAAGTGGAGCTATGGAAATGGTATGTCGGGGATCTGTGGGAGTGGCCTCTCTCTATCTGGACCTTAGAAACAGTGACCAGGCAACAGTCCAATGGCCGTTATAAAGCCAGGCTCTTGCAACAGAGGGATAGAGGGAAGGGAAGGTCTGTAGAACAGAAAATAAACTTTTTTCTTCCACTTTTGATTCAGGTCCTACTCCGTAAAATAGAGCTAAGCTATCCATTTCTCGATGTGTCGCTGTTCGGTGCCACTGTCGATTCTGACTCTTTGTACCTCTATATAAAACAGCGTGTTCCAGCACCATCTTCACAATTTTATGTTTGAGCTTACTGTTACAGACACTATCTAATTCCAGTTGTTGAAGATAATTCTTCTTTTTAACAGGCCCCCTACTTTACCAAGCATCATGTCCATTTTCAGGGACGAGTCCATCCTGATGCTATATCCAAGTGTCATCTCATTATTCTTGCTTCCAAGGAGCATTGTGGCTGTTCCTAAAATTACGTTTTTGCTCTCTAACACTTAAAAAACAAAACAAAACCCTTTTCTTGTGCATTGGGTGAAAGCGTGTAGAGCAGGTCACCAGTGGTTCAATGACCCCTGTACATTTTGTCAAATCATATCCACTGCAGGACCCTCAATGTGCCATCCCAAATCCCCTTCCACCTTGTGTGCCCTGTTTCCAGCCCTCTCCTTTCCTAATCTTTGACCTTGACTCAGTGCTGTCCTTTTGATCTTCAATGGTTGATTTTACTAAGGTGTGCATACATCAAGAGCATTATTGTTCACCTTGTTGATTTGTCTAGTGTTTGCCTGAAAACGGAGCTAAGGAGGAAAATTCAGTAGCAGATGTGATGAGTACAATGGTTAAGATGTTCAGTCAATTTGATGCACTTCTAAGAACATGTGGGTGGAGTCCAGCCTCTCCATCAGGTTACAGCCTGATGATGCCTCCTTGTGGGGGTAGCATACTTCTTCTAGCTATACTGACTACTGGGAGGGGCTTCCTATCACTTCCCTCTTTGCTGGTGAGGAACTTGCATCACTTGCTGGCTGCTTCCCTTAGCCTGCTGCAGCCCATGTTTTGTGCCTGTGGCTTGATACAGCAGTTGCTGCCTCTATTGTAGCTGGTTCCTGAAGCTCCACTGCAGCCACAACCAGAGCTGTCACCACAGCAGCCACTTTCACAGCTGCCACGTCACCTGGCCTTAGCCAACTCTTTCCTGCTCCTTGATGCTTCAGCCAGACAAATGCATGATTCAGGAAAGGCCTTCGCCCAGCATCTGACCCCGGAAGTGTGCCTGGCTGGGGAGCCTCCCTGTAGTTCTGGGAGCCGCAATCTTGATATGCACAATTTTCATTATGTACACACTTCTCTTTATAGACATATGTAAGTGTCCTCGTTTGCTTCTTTAGAAAGCCCAGCCTACTACAAAGGGTGACTAAGAACTCTTTGTTGCATGTTTCATTAGTCTCTTGTGGATGAGTAAGCTTGTTCTCTTTCCTTACCTGTATTTTTGCCAACTTTCTTATCTCAGTGAAATAAACCAGGAGTATTCAACTTAGAAATTAGAGTTAAACAATGTTATGACACAAGAGATTTTTCTTTCTGAGCATCTTTTTTTCGGTCTTTCTCCTTGAAAGTGGTTTTCCAAGGTTGACACAAAACCTCCCCCACAGACAGGATAGAGGGCACATCAGCTGGTACAAATGCAATGAACACAGCTTGAGGCACAGGTCATAATTTTAGTAAGCCTCAATTTAGCCAATTATCTTTAATTATCTTTAATCAATGTGGGAAATTTCCCCTTACTTGTGGGAAAGCCAGAAGTTATGTGAAGGTGAATCAAAAGGCATTGCTACAGATTACAGAAACCTTTATTCCACAAAATATCAAAATGTGAAACACCTGTTTCTTCGCCTATCTTTCATTTAGATCTATACACTTCTGAAGGCGGTGTTTCCATTTCTAATCCTTTCCTGAAACATTCTGGCTTCTTCAAATGCGGCAGTTTTGGTATGCTCAAGAGACTTAAGTCGTGTTCCTTTTCAACGATGTTTGAATTTGGGGAATAAGACGTATCCAAAGGGGCAAGTTCAGGGGCAAGAAGTTTTTGTGAAACTTCTTCCTAACAAATGCATGTGTCCTTTCAGGACTACCCTGGGAAGTCCCATCCAAAACAGTCACTACAACATTCTGAGCTAATGTCTCTGATGTGAATTGAGCTTTGAGGTCTTCTTGACCTTTTAAAAAAGACTTGATGCATATAAAAACTTTTTTTACTCCTGGAAAAAATCATTATGTTTTAGTTCTATTTTTCCATTAACATTTTTTTTCCAAAATCATTTATTGGGAGCAAATACAGATGTCATGTCTTTCCATAGTTCAATGGCATCAAGCAGTATTGTACAATTCCTACCAAAGTTTGAAAACATTCTCTTCTTTCTTGAACTCCTTGATATCAGCTTTGCTGTACTCCCAGGAATCCTTATTCTACTTGCTGTCTCTATAGTTTTATCAATACTGTGTAACACATACCAGAAAACAGAAAAACATATCACAAAAATTCCAGAGGGCTACCCACAATGACAAAAAATATTAGAGATAAACTCCAACACGAAAATTCATGTGCACCTGCGCACACACACAGAGAGAATGTTGGGGGGGAAATGGTAAAAAGAAAATGTTGGAAACCAGATCAGGACCAAGGAGGGAGCAGAAAGGGGATCAACTGACAAGGTTTTAACCACTCAAGTCAGGTTTATCATTTTGATCTCCTAGAGTCATCTCTCAATGTAAGGCAGCACTCCCGTAAACTTGATGTAACATTTCAATAATTTGGCAAGAGGTCCCCTTGAATTTGTTTTTAATTCGGTATTAGATTTGACCTCAAAATCTTTTTTTTTAATGACACAAAAAGTATCTTTTTTTTTCATTTTATGAAGGTACCTGAATGAGATTAAGGCAAATGTATTACTGAGAGAATTTTTCTGCAACCAATTGTTGGGACATGTTGAAACATGTATTGTTAAGAATATACCCATGCATATATGAGCTAGAGTCCTAGAAACAATACTTTTTTTAACTTCCCATAATATATATTTTTAACAGCCTCTTTCAGTGAACAATCTATATTATGAAGAAGGAGGCAATGATTCAAAGTTAGACTGCCGTGTATTTATAATAAAAGTCAATTTTATATCCAGAGAGATTTATGTATAGCTCAGAAATATTAGTAATTTGAGTGAAACTAGCAGATTAATTGACCTCAAAGAGGCAAGGAAATCCTTCTAGAATCACACATCTTTTATTGCTATTTTGGTTCCAAGGACACAGCGGATAAGAATTAGAGACCTATGTGTGTTCCTTTGTCTGTGAATACTTCAATCATGCAAACTTAATTACTCCAGCATTATTCTTTCACTCTGTAATTAATTTGGGATGCTCTTCATTTTAATATGAAAGTGATACTTCTGGTGTAGAAGGAGGGGTGAAATCAATCAAATTCATGTGATGCCATTGGCTTAAATTTGTATCTACTACTGTCTGAAGCTGCAATGCTGAGAGATGTAAGAAACAAAAGATGGCATTAAGGAATAAGCACATTGCTATTCATAAAAATAAAGGTGCCAAAGTGGAAAATACCACAACATAGCCCCATTGCAGGGCTTAATTCAATTAGGGAAATGCCCACTGTCAAATCTGACTTCCATAGAGTATCAATCACAGCAGTGTTCAGAGATGTCGGGGTTCCCGTCACAATTATTTCCCCCCTCTCTGTTATGGTAAAAGATGTGTATTCTGGGAACTTTCTGTGTGGGTCTATATTGATAAATTAACGTGCCAATTTTGCCAAGCCTTTGGATAGCAAGGTAGGACTGATCATTCTGCTTGATTGATTGTAGGCCATTGAGCAGTCCATGCTTCAGAAAACCAGTAACAACAACAAAATAGATCCTCTCCTAATCTCTTTAGCTGAAACACTGAGTGAGGATCGTGTTCCTATTGGACCCCTACCAACAAAATCAGAATGATTTCACCTTATGTTCCCTGTACCCAAATCATACAATGTTAATAATCATTCCCACATATACTCTCCAAGGTTTTGTTTGTAAATATTAGAAAACTCTAGCAGCTTTTTAGATGTGGTACACCTCTTCCTGGGTCATCATTTATACTTCACTTTCTGGGGCTCATTGGAACGTATGTCTAACAAACTTAAGTGTAGAAGCAATGATTAGCGGTGAGGGTGTTTCCTGGAAACACTCCACAATGTCTTGTAAGGCATCTGACCCACATGTCATATGACTTGCACAGTTGACTAATTTTAAATGTGGGTGGAAGGGTGTGGAAGTTACAGAATGTCATGTCAATTTGAAGATATATAAAAATGTAGGGGTAGAGTTTAGCCTGTCAATCAGGTCACAGACTGATGGTGACTCCTTGTGGGTGTGACCTTCGCATAAGGAGTGTCCTGGGAGCGTCCCCTTCTCTCTTGGTCTTTACCTTCCGGTTGGCTGACCCTGGTGGCTACCAGAGCCATGGCCATTGGATCCACATGACTCTGCACCTACCGCCCTGTGATCGCCCTGCATGCTGCAACATTGAGTGGGGCTGCGTGAATCTGATGAGGGACTTATGGACTAGTATCAGACCTATGGACTTGAGCTGGAATGAACTGGGATGTCTTCTTGTTATACATAATTACTTCTTGATATAAAGTTCTTTTTAATTTTTTCCCCTGGGTCCTTGTCCTGGCGTTTGAGGATAGGACCAGCGGATGGGCAGCCGCCAGCACCGAAGACATGACACAGAGGGGACCGGAAGTCTGCTCCCTCTGCCTCCATACATAACGGGGACCTGGACTGCATGCCCGGCCCCCTCCAAGAAAAGGAGGGTGGTATAAAGTTCTTTCTTACATATATGAGTGTCACTGGATTTGTTTCTCTAGTCAACCCAACCTAAGGCAAGGGGAAAACAATTGTACTGGTGATGGATTATCAAGCAAAGGTAATCTCTTCAGAGCGATGGACAGTGCGGTTGGCTGAAGTGATTCAGTGGAATGTAGGGGCTGCTGGTCCCATCTTCCGGATTTTCTGCCCTTACACCCCCTCGCCAAGTTTCAGTGTTCCATTAATTCCCAATCAATGTTATCACTTTAACACCAGAGAGCATTCAAGTTAAACTTGAGTTTGGTTTGGTTTTATGGGGTTGCTATGAGTTGGAATTGACTCAATGGCAGTCAGTTGAGTTTCAGACACAAGTGGAAACTTTGAGGCCTTTTATGTGGTGCCTGAGCTGCCACTCTGAAGCCCTCAGCTTATCTCTTGCTTTACCCCCTTTTTTCTACTGTAAGTAGGACCAACCAATCAGCTTCCATTGACTTTTCATTCTGGCACAACTTCAGGACAATCCTACCACATATTCACCCAGAGCTTCCCTTCTCACATAGACTTTGTCTATTGGTGGTAATATTTTATGTATTGCCATTTTATACCATGGATTAATAACACCCTCTTATCAATAGAGACAAAGTTATCAGAACTAACAGAAGCAGATTTATCAGTGCTTTGAAAATGGATGAGATTTGAAAACCTATTTAGAAAACTCAACCTTATGATTTTGTTTCTCTATAACAACTCCTGGACCAAATGTCCTACATTTGCATTTTCTAGAGAAACAAAGATAGTAATGCTTACATATGTATATACATACAGAAGTTTATATCAAGAACATGTCCCACACAGCCGTAGAAGTAAATCAGACCATAGGTAGGTAGGTAGGTTCCAACTCCATGAATGAGATGTTAAGCTAGAGGTTTCTTCTGGATCAAGTGGATGCAGAGGTTGATGAACTCAAGGTCAGCAGGGAGACCACAGACTAATGGCTGCAGAGGGGGATGAATTCAAGTTTGTTTGGTGAGATGGCATGTCACGGATGACTCCCAGGATCATCAAGCAATATGACAGGCCATTGGTTCAAGTCCAAAGAATTGGAGGTCAATGAGTCAGATGCAGGATCCAGATACAGTAAAGACCAAGCAAGCTTTACCATAACCGATATAGGAATGAGATCACAGCCCCAGGGAAGCTTCCTTTCTAATGCATCAAGGTTGTGACTTGAGTAAAAGGGTTTCATTCCACCCTAATAAGCTTACAAGTGATTGGCTCCATTATGGAGTTGATGACATTGTATTATGTCACACAAGAGTGATTGCTAGGCCTTCACTGCCAACATACTGAGAATTCAAACTAACTATCATATTAGCAAATTAATAACATGAAAAGACAACTGTACAGAAATTCAATCAAAGTCTATTTAAAAATTGTTCATAATAATTGTGATGACTTCAAAAACTTTTTCAGGTTATTATAGAAGTCCATGCCAATACTCTCTGATCATTCCACCTATTTTGGGATTTGTTTAAGATTCAACTATAAGCCACATAAAAATTAATATCATACTTAATGGCAAAAGTCTGACTGTTTTCCTTCTAGCATCAGAAACAAGGCATGCTATCTGTTCTCTTCAGTGCTATTGACTACAGTAGTAGGGGTATAGTCAGGGCAATAATGGAAGATAGCAAAATAAAAGGAATACAAATCAGAAAGGAAGAAGGAAAACTATTTTTTTGAGAATTATACAATTTTCTATGTAGAAAATTCCAACAGGCCCACCAAAAAGCTGCTAGAACTAAGAAGTGAGTTCAGAAAAATCTCAAAATAGAAAGCCAACCCAAAGAAATCCATCATATCTCTAAATAATCAAAGAACAATAGGAAACTTTATATATACGTATATATATCTAATACCATTTACAAAGTCCACTTAGATAAGAAGTAGGCCACACCCCCAAGGAAACTTCCTCTCAAATGCATCAAGGCTGTGACCACGGTCATATGATTCCTGACTAACAGCTATTCTATAGGACAAAGTAGAGCTACCCCTTTTGGTTTCCAAGCCTTTACATCTTGAAGGAGCGGTAAGCCTCACTTTCCAATCGGGAGGAGCTGGAACGTTCATATGGTTCAGCTTGTGGTTAGCAGCTCTTTGCATAACAAACTACACCCCCAAACTAAAAAAACTCACTGCCAACCCATAGCGACTCCATAGGACGGTGCATGGGTTTATGAGACTGTAACTCTTTATGGGAGAAGGAAGCCTGAACACTGCATGCACCACCAGGGCTTCTTAGAAGTGGAATAGTTGGATTACATCTAAATTCTCTTCACTGAAAATTACAGAATGATGAAAAGGTATTTTACACGTAAATAATATTTATTAGTTGTCAGTTGTATATAGGGCCGCTACATCAGGCAGAACTGACTCAATGACATTTAACTATACCAACAATAATAATTCTATATGTAGCAATGTAAGAGCTTATAGGGCAACATGTTGGTCACCATTCAAGTGTGCTTACCCTTTGCATCACCCAAGGAATCCATACATCTATTAGAATGGCTAAATTCCAAAATCCTTACAACCCCAATTACTGTTCATGAATGGCATAGTTAACAACAGTTTAAGTGGCCAGTGCTTTATATAAATGAATATGTGAGTCAGAGGTAAACTGTGTCTTTACTTCATCTTTAACACTGCTTTCTAGAGACCAGACACATTAATTGCAAAGTTGGGATTTGAACCCACCATACAAATTACCCTACATTTCACCATCATTTTTTATCCCCTTTATCATCCTCCTAAACCTTATCTTGAGTGGCTATTGCACCCAGTGCAAAGCTGATATTGAAACCTGTTACTGAGAATGATTCCTACCTTAGACCAGTCACCCATTCTCCAGACATAGCATTTCGAGTAGTCTTCGCAGTCCTCCGTCTCCCTGGGTCTGGTGGAGAGGACACATTTCTTCCTTGGGTTCGTACACCTCACAGTCCGATGACGGACCCCTTTGCCACATTTGACTGAGCACTGGAAGACAACACGAGAGAGGGTGGATAAAGGCTTTCATCAGGACATATGAACTAGAGATAAAATTATATTAAATGCTGCTACCTAATCATCTCTCACAGGGCAGGTAGAAGAGAGATATATAAGAGGAACATCAGATTAAGCACCAGTAGTTGAAGCCAGATTAAGCTAAAGATCCAGATCTGGAGATAAATGGGCTTCAGCAACACTGGACCATGGTTACTGACAGCAATAGGGTACAGTGATTATTTAGAAAGCCAAGTAGTATACCATAATTAAAATATAAAACGCAGAAATTTGGCGAAATGGTCAGAATGTCATTTCTTCAAAGTTAAAACAATGAATTTAGTTAAAACAAAATGAACAAGATCTTTATATAATTATAAAAAAAAATCAGTTACCTTTGAGTCAATTCCGATTCATAACACTCTATGTGAGTGAGGGTTAAACTCTGGCTTTCCATGGCTAACTTTTCAAGAGTGCATTACCACACATATCTTTACCATTTTGTTCAGTATTCAAGTGTGTTGGCCATTTGCATCACTCAAGGAAACCATATATCTATCAGAGTGGCTGAATTCCAAGATACATACAAGCCCAATTACTGGAAAGTATGTGGGAACATCAGAAAATTCTTCTTTATTGCTAGTGGGAATGCAAAACTGTACATACAGTTTGAAGGACAGTTTGCCAGTTCCTCACAAAACTAAACATAGTTTTACCATAAAATAGAATAGTCACTCTTTCTGGTATTTATCTTTGAAATTCACAGCCCAACATGTAACCACTATGCCACCGAGGCTCCTCCTGGTAATTATGTAAATGAGTTAAACATTTATGTTCATACAAACACTTGTATATAAATGTTTATAATGTCCTTAGTTAAAACTTGGAGGGAACCAAGATGTCCTCTAATAAGGGAATAAATTAAAAAATGGTGATGCATCCATACGATGGGATCTCATTCAGCAACAAATATGTGAACTTTTTGGAACATGCTACAATATGAATGGCCCTCAGAAACATTCTTCAGAGTAAAAATGGAGAGGCAAAAGTATAAAGACAAAAAGTTTTCTGGGGTTACCAGGGTCCTGGAGGAGGCAAAATGTGGCTTTATTGCTTAAAGGATATTATGTTTCTGTTTAGGGTGATGGAGAACATTTGGCAATAAATAGTGATCATAGTGAATATAATGAATTTTAATGAATTATAGAATTATAAAGTTTAAATAGTCAATGTTTTATATAAATGTATATACACATACATACATACAGTATATAAATATAATTACTACAATCGTCAGATGGTGGGGTAGTTACATAATCTAGTGTCAGTTTGGTATTTGAGAAGATTAAGAGTGAAGGGGTGGAGTCTAGCCTGTCAACTGGGTCCTAGCCAATGAGGCCTCTATGTGGGCATGGCCTTCTCCTAAGAATTATGGGAACTCTGGTATTTCCTGCTTGAAGGTAGGAGACAGACTCTCAGCTTACTCGCTGGGAGACATTGCAGCTGACAAGACACATGGATCTACACTAGTGGCCTGAGCTGGAGAATCCACATTGAGACCCCTGCCAGCCCTGAGATGCTTACAACATCACTGGATCCAAAGACCTTCTACCCACTGACCTGGGATTATCCTGCATTTGGCATCATTGCATGTGTTTTGTGAGTCTGAAGAGGACTTTATAGACTGGTATCGGACATATGGGCTAATATCGGACTTATGGACTTGGACTGAACTGGGTTGGGATGCTTTCTTAATGTACAATTACCCTTTAAATAAAACTCTCTCTTATACACATATTCTGGTTGTGAATTTGTTTCTCTCTTCTACCCAGACTAACAAGGAGGGAAAATGAAAAGAAATGGAGCATATACTGCACCTCAGACCACACTCCTGCTTCCCACACCGTCATGCAGTCCTGGCCCTCGCAGCGCTGGGCAGAGGTGGGCTTAGGCCCAGTGCAGTCCCTTTCCCGGGCTCTGATCAGAGTCCCATTGCTCAGTTGTTGAGTACAGGCCACTTGTCTGCTCTGCATCCCTTTTCCACAAGTTCGAGAACACGGTGTCCACTCTGTCATCATCCATCTAAAAGTAAAACAAGAGTCATTGGGAACAAGTTTTAGAAATATTACCTATTAGATGTCTTGGCATATCTAGACTTAGAAGAATGTCACTCAGTAACTTTACTCTTTTTTTAATTAACATTATAGTGTGGTTTTTTTTCAGGATGCTTGTGATTTCTGTTGCTTGGAATTATCTATATTTCTTATGTAAGGACCTTGCCTTTATTAGATTCTCAAAGAAAATATCAGATTAAGTTTGTAATATTACTGTGAGATTTATCTTTTTTTGCTTATCATCCTGCCATGGACAGAGAACTTTTAAGATAAAATGGCTAGCAGATATGAGTCCTTCCTATTTTTTTTTGTGCCTTCAAATATTCACAACAACCCATGTGGTAGTACTACAGCGATCATGGCCACTTTACAGAAGAGGAAACGGAGGCACTAAGAGTTTGAATAATTTGCCAGAATTACCTTTACCCAGAAACTGAACCAAATCTGTAGAGCACTTCACAATGAGAGGTGTGTGGGTACCAGGCAACGTGCATGTGATGGAGCACACTCACTAACTTGGATGAACCATTTTGGCTATATAGGCAGCTAAATATTTTGACAAGGACATGTCTTCCCAGAGAGAGCTAGAGTTGCTTCTTTGGGCTGTCCACTCACCAGCTGAGGTCACAGTCTTAGGATGACACATTTAGAAAGTGAAATTTGAAGTCACCTTCTGTTAGAGGTTCTCAGGGCTCCAATATTATACTAGGATTTCACTATTAATATATAGGTATGTTGATACTTAGACAAATATATTTTCTTCTCCAATCAACAGGACAGAGATACAGATTTAGGTAATTGCCATGTCTAATGAACTGAGATCTGTCCCATTGTCCTGTGCTGTCAAGTAGATTCTAGCTCCTGGCTGTGCCCTGTATTACAGAGTTGGATTGCGCCCTAGGGTTGTTCTGGTTTGAGCTCCACTCCGCTGCTGGGGGGTTCAAACCTACCAGGGGGTACTGCCACAGAGAAGTCCTGGCTATCTGCATAAAGGTGTGTTGTACGTGTTGTTGTCTACTCTCTAGTCTATTCCAACTCACAATAAACCTACAGGACAGAGTAGGACTGCTCCATGGGCTGCCTCAGGCTGTCACTGCTTTATAGGAACTGAATAGCAAGGCTTTTCACATGCACAGAGACTGGGGGGTTTGAACCAATGCCCTTTCAGTTAGCAATCAAGTGCTCAGCCCCTCAAGCAAACCCTCTTTGACTTTGCAATGCATGGGCTTGCCAGCAATTGGAATGAACTAGGTGGCAACTAGCAACAGTAATCTTTGTGGAGGCAGGCCTTTCCTCCAGTGATGCCACTGGCTAGATTTAAACAGCCATACTTCTGGTTACCAGTCAAGTGTAACACTTTTCCCACCACCTGGGACTGAGATCTACCCTAAGGGCCACTAATTTAAACACCTCCCAAAATCTATTTCAGGACGGGACCAAGACCCGTTCCAGAAAAGCAATTCATGAAATTTATTTCTGTGGCTTTTGCCAATAAAAATTCACTCTAGATATCCCATTATTTGGATAGCCTTACAGAGGGATTTAAAACATTCTCCACACCTCCCCCTTTCCCCACCAGCTCTACTCAATCCGATTTCAGCACTGTCTTAGGGCAGTGAGAAGACCTGTGCTTATTTCTGAATTCCTTACTAGCTATACACATTCTTATAAGACTTAACAGCTGTAAGTTTCCATTTTCTCACTTGTAAAAGTGTTTATTATTATACTGACTAACATATCATAGGCAATCACTACATAACAGGCAATACATACTTTGCAGTAATTTGTAAATGCTTTAAATTTAAATATACATTCTCCTCCTGTCTCATCTCTCTGACTTCTTTAGAACATAAACCATATGTTCATTGAGGTCTACAAACAACTTCCTTTTCCTTTTTTTTTTTTTTTTCACTTCCTAGTATTTGCTTGTGTAGAATCATCTACCTAGAATTTCTTGCCATGAATCTTAACACAAACCTCCAAGCCCCTTCCTCTGGAAATGGCTTCCAAATGCAACCGGCAGAGAACATTCATTCCTCTGCCCTCTATCTCCTAATTTATGGCTTTCCAAGAGCATTTTGTGAGGGAGCTATATCCTAGGGAAGTGGAAGGAGTCAAAGAATACCTAAGAAATTTGAAGATTTTATTCTTAAAGTATATACATTCCTCAAAGGCAGAAATCAGTGTCTTATTCTTCTCTGCACCGACAATGCTTTGCACATTGCATATGATAGTGCTTCAATACATGTTCCTTGAAAAAGAACTTGTGTTTCTGTTTTTGTTTTACAGAAATGGCCTCAATTATTTCAAATCCCTTTGAGCACAAGTGCTCTGAGCAATGGTTCAAATACTATAGAGTCACATAATCTCCCTAACCAAGTTTCCTCATGGAGCTCAGAGGACACCACCCCAAAGAGAAGTATTTATAATGTTATAGAATCTCATATTTCACAAATAAAATACATCTTAGATATCCTGGGTTCTATGTTTGCTCTGAGGTCTCATATCCCACCAGTTGTGGGCAACTTGTAACAGATCCAGTTATCGAATATATGTACAATTATGCATCTGGACCACAAGTACATGCTAAAGACATGGAAGAGACACCAATGAAGGACATTAGTAGAAATCTCCAGGGAGAAAAGAAGAAGAAAGGAACTCGGGAACAAGGGAAGTGCTCATCAGACCATTTACTTGAACCTTGTGACAACCAGAAAATCTGGGATTGCCTACAATAATGGGAGAGCATGGAATGTAAAGTAGACATGGATGTGAAGAGCAGCTATCGACTGTATTTGAAAGCCATTTCTAAGAAGCTCACGCTCAGAGGTATAAAGAAGCAATGGAAATAATTTACAGACATACCGGCTAGTCTGCAGGATCTACATTAGCTCCTTTTTCGTGAAGCAAGTCAACAATTTCTGTGGGCACCTTGCGGAGATGACAGGATCCGGGATGTAGACCAGAGGATGAAGTATACTCAGGTCCTCCTTGTACAGAAGTGACCCATTTCCCACCTAATGTGAATCAACTGCAGGCCATTCCTTGCCAACTTCAAGATCATCAAGTATTTGAATGGGAGACATGGAATCAAATTCACGTGAAAATCAAAGTATATTAGAGGTGCCATAGTGGCATCGTGGGCCACCTGTTGGGCTGCTCACTGCAAGGTTAGCAGTTTGAAATCAATAGCTGCTCCTCAGGCAAGAGATGAGGCCTTCTAGTCCTGAAAAGGGTTGCAGACTCGGAACCCCAAATGGGGCCAGTTCCACCCTGTCCTACAGGGTCTTTATGCGCCTGAGTGGACTCTACAGCAAGAAGTATTAGTATAATGATGAAAACATTGCATTTTCTACTCTTTGTGAAAACCCAGAGAAGAACAACTAAAATGTACAGTATAATGTAATAAGAGAAATTATTTTATATTCTATAATTTATGTCATTTGAACTGTCCAATTGTTGGTAGTAAATCAATACATTTGATTATCTTTTTAAAAATGTTAATGGAAATTACTTTTTTTTAACTCACTGATTAAAAGGAAAGATTGAGTAGATACATTGTCATGTTAGTGTGCAATTAAAAAAATTTCAAGTGATTAATATTCATATCTATGCATGTCCATTTCTTTCCAATATTTTGATTCACTGAGATAACCTCTTCATGATATAAAATATATTGATTCCCTTTCTAGGAAACAGAGATAGTAAGGTCTAAGAAAAAGATTTCAAATCTTAAATTGCAAAAATTGCTCACTCATAAATGTACTGATTTTTAAAAAAATATTTATTTTACCAGGTCATTATTAAAATATTTTCCCCCAAGATAGGTGACTGAGATCAGTGAATGAACAATACATGGTGTCTATTAAACCCTCTGGCTACCCACAAACTCAGAAGGGGCAAAGATGCTCTTGTTCTCAAATCTAGCACATGCAAGTTTCCTAATGTATCAGAAGAAGCTATTGATACTTCTTGAAACAGAAAGCAGCATCTGGTATATATGATAAGAAGATTTTCTGTCAACTTGGCTGAGCTAGGATTGTCAATAATTCAGCAGTCAAAACCTTGCAATCCTCCAAGACCTGGCCTCACACAATGTAACCACAGCCAATTGGTTGTAAACCTCCCTAAGGGGATAAGATTAGGGTAGAATGAAACATTCTTACTCCAGTTATAGCCATGATGCAATTAACAGCCTGAGCCCTGTGATCTGTTTCCAATATTTCAATAAATTATAAAATGCAAGTTAAATTAACCCACAACAGGCTCACTGACCACCAGTTCTTTGGATTAGAGCCAATGGCCTGCCATACTGCCTGCCCATTCTGGAAGTCATCAGCAAGCTTTCTTTTGACCTGCAGACTTTAGATTCATTGCCTGCCCTGCTGACCTTGGATTCATTCACTTATTCAGCCACTAGCCCACTGTCTTCCTGGTGATCATGAGCTCCCACAGTTATGTGGGTTAGGAGAAACCTCAACCCTAACATCTAACTCACAATTGGAACCTGCCTGACTTGAACTTGCCTGCTTCTACAAACATGTTAGCCATTTTACTGGTATACATTTCTCTCTCTCTCTCTCCCTCTAATCTAAGATAGTACTTAAACCAACTATAGGTTCTCTAGGTATTTGATAGTATCTAGGTGGGTGTTTGGTGGCAGTGGTAGTGCTTGTTTGAAATATTTCAATAAATTAAACAGTTCAAAGGAAATTAACATTTTGTAATATTTGCCACAGAAAAACAATATGAATAGTAGCAGAATACAGTCAGGGACAGTTCCAGAAGATAAGCCCTCAGATTGGAAGGCACTCAAAATGTGGCAGGCAGTAGAGTTTCAAAGTAGAATTGACCATAAGGAGGCTGATGGAGTAAAGGTTTGGGGACTTTCATTTGCCGATGGGGCACGACTCAAAATGAGAAGAAACAGCTGTAAACATCCATTCATAATTGGAACTTGGAATGTTT